GACGCGGTTACATACCAACGCAACAAGCCTCGATGATATGTGACCCAGTTACTCGATGATTCCTCTCCAACGGTAACGAAATACTCCAATAAACGGAGGTGGATCGAAGCTTTTGGTGTGAAATAGTTGAAAGAGCCCAAGGGCGATACTACATCGACTCGATGTGCAGCCCATGGGCCTCGAACTTAGCCATGAAAAGCCTAAAAATAGCGCCTACAATGGCCAGAACTGTGATGACTGAGAGAGCTGTGTAAATAGTTTAATCTCAATATCACAGACACGCGGCTTCCAACGCACTTTGATCGGGAGATAACCGGCGCTATTCGGACAAACAAATGTAAACGATGATATCAATGTGAGATATCCGTCTCAATGCACTACGCTGAGACCTTGGACTAAGCCATGGATAGCGTAGAATGTGCCGACTGTGACGAAGCTGATGACGACGGCCAAAGCTGTGTAGGTTGCATAGAGACGAAATCCGCTCGGTTGTTGAATGTAGAGGTAAAACCAGAGCGGAAATATGTATATTGAACCTGAGTAAGTGATCTATGCTCCCGTAATCACAGTGAAGTATAGGCTGACAGGAACCGAACTATTCGTGTAAACAAATGGAAAGAAGAATCAATATCGCTACAGTATCCCTATCACGACAGGAACACTGCCCACTCGGGCTGAATCAACGATTGATGATATCATAGTTACATCGGAAATATAAAGAGTCTTCAAATCGCCTAGTGCCTTTGAGTTTGCTTACATGCAGTGAGGAGGATGCCGCCTACAGCCTGTAGGTAGGCTAGCTGACTCCTAGCTACCACTGCCAATACGGCGATGAGGCTGATCATCGCACAACGCCATATAATCCTCCAGGAAGGGCTGCCAGCAAAAGCTGCAGTTCTAGAGAATTTATTCTGAGAAACAATACATACAAAGGAACGAACCTGGAACGCTCTTTCCCAAAACGAGTCCTTCACCACTACACCAACTCTACTATACTCTCTCCCTTGTTGAATAGGATTCCACAACTACTTCAACTTCTACAGACTTACCAGAAGATGTGATATTTGAGTTTCGCTGCTAACCAGCACGGGAACCACCAGCACGGGGACGTATGATAGCATCCTCAACAGAAGTAAAGCACACCCTGTGTAAATTAGCCACTTCGGGAGGACGCCATCGGGAGCAACTGAGAAGTGACATCCTCAGGAATCGAACCCAGATCAAATGCATCAAGAATGAACACCATAACCGCTACAGTACAAAGCGTTATGCAACTGGTATATACATAACTGTGAACAACAATTCCAACTATGAACGAGGATTCTAAAGATTTGCCAAACGATTCACACAAGTATCAGGTTGAAGATGATT